AGTGTGGTGTGGTCAGATTGAGCACAAGTCCGTGGGGGATATCGTGTCTCATAGTGGGGCCAGCCCTCTGGTCCACTGTGTGAATTGGCTGCTCTGAGCAGGAATATCGTCCTCAGGGCTTGGTGGGCCAGGATGTGCTCCACTCTCTCCTCCCCCTTCATTTGCTCCTGTGTGCTCTGATCAGACATGTCCCTCTCCCTGAGCTGTAGCTTCAGTGCTGCCCCCTGAAGTGAATTCTTCTGGGGGGAGGGGGAGGACCATAATTTCTATAACTTGGGTGATCCCTCACAGTAACCAAAATGGGAAAAATTATTTCAGAGGGAAACCCTGGAACAGGAGACTTGAGGTGAGGTGTGGGGGAAAGAACAGGGAAGAGACTGCGGGCAAACACAGTGCTTATGCATTAAGGAGTTTGGGAGCCTGGGGCTCCTGTGGAGGGAGACCTTCACATTCGTGGGTTGGAGATGCGTCCCACTCACATTCTCCTAGAAGTTATTCCCCACGATGTGCCCTGCAATGATGCCAATCTTAAGGTGCTTGCAAGCACATGGTTGCTATTGCATCTGCTTGGAGGTCAACTGCTTGAAGGCTACGTGCCTGAAGGTTGTCTGCCATGGAGATAATCAGACCCTACTGTCTGCCCCACTCTAAGTAGGGCCCACTCCTTTCTGATAAGGATCATAGATTGTTCTCCTGGAGAAGAGCTTAGGGGCCACATAAGGTCAAGCCAAGGTTAGGCTGCTATCTTGACTCTAGAACCCGCCCATCTTGTTGCATATGCACCTTCCTGTCACACGCATGCCCCTAGTGCCTCCCCTTCCTATTGCATGCATACCCTAGCTCATCCCCCTCATGCTAGGCGTATCCCTCTAATACAATTCCTTCCTGTTATGGATGTGCTTACTGTGGCTGGCATGCCTGAGATGATATAAGACCGTGCAAGAATAAATCACTTCCTCATTCAGGTTCCACCTCCATCAGAAGAGATGAGCCCTTGTGGTCCTTGTTTATATCTTTTAATTCACCCCTCAATTACACAACTGTCCCTTGAGGACCCATGCAGATGTGGGGCTGGACCTCACAGTGCGGTTGATGGGGGAGAGTGGATTATTGGCCCTTTGGGCACATTCAGAGTGCTGCAGTGCGCTGCCATCTTTGAGCTGGGAGCCGCCATCTTCGAAGCTAAGTACTTGGATGCTACATACTTTTGCCCTCGCTTTCAAAAGACCGGACTAATCACTCAAAAGCAAGAATGCGTACTACCGTCAAGTCGATTCTGACTCAGCGAGCCTAGAATACAGAGTGAAATTACCTCTTTGGGTGTCCCGGACTAAATCTTGATGGGAGCAAACCGCCTCGGCTTTCTCTTGCAGAGGGAATGGTGAGTTGGAACCCTTGATCTCGGTAGCTCAAGGTGTAGCCCACCATGCCCCAAGGTTTCTTGAAGCCACCCCTTTTCATATCCAATTCTTTATCACAATCATCTTCCTATACTGCGGGTACGGTTTTAGATCAGATCCATGGGTACGTGTTCCGACTGACCTGGAAATTCACCTTGAAGCCACTTCCAGTTCGCAGGGATCTCATTCCTACCCTGGGGACCGCCTGGGTTTATCGACGCGAGATGAAATCGCCTGCTCACTCTGAGCAGCCTGTGTCCACGTGTTCTTCGCTGTTCTGTCCAGGATTGCTAAGCTTTAGAGACAGGTCCTTCGGATAAGCAGGGATGTTCATACAATGGCGGGCCATTCAGGAATAAACAATGACATTGATTCATGCAACAAGGCGAACAACAGGAGTGCACACTGTTCCGGTCCATGTACCTGAAGGTCTGGAACAGGCTAAATCAGTCTGGGCTGAGAGGTCAGACTAGTAGTGACCTCTGAGGGGGCAACACAGAGCATTCTAGAATCTGGATCTTCAAGTGGCTGGTGTTTACTGATTGAAACCAAACGCTGAAGATGTGTGCACTTCTTAAAAAAGTAGTTGGGCCCTGGGGGACAGACAACCGAAAAGTGGATGAAGGGAGAAGTCGGACAGGGCAAGATATGACAAAATACCCATTTATAAACTATCAAGGGCTCGTGTGGGAGGGGGGAGCGGGGAGGGAGGGGAAAAATGAGGACCTAATGTCGGGGGTTTAAATGGAGAGAAAATGTTTTGAGAAATGATGTACAAATACGCTTTACACAATTGATGTGTGTATGGATTGGGATAACAGTTGTATGAGCCCCTAATAAAATGTTTTAAAAAAAAAAAAAGTAGTTGGGATTGAATACATATGTCTTATCATTTCATATTTCAATCTCCTGTCAAATCAAAGGTATAGTTCAACCACAATCAGTTTCCAAACATTCTGTTTCTACAAGGACTCCTTGACATCTCCCTTTTCCCCTCCCTCTACTATACCCGACTCCCCCCGAACCCCTTATTCTACTTGCTGTCCCTATAGGTTCATCAATCCTGGGTTTCAGACACGGAAAAACGGAAAAGGATGTACACGCTTTTTTGAGTTTATTTTTTATTGTGATTTGAGTGAGTCTGTTAGGTAGGCTAGCTTAGGGCTGGGGGATGTCCGTTAACGCATGCCCAGAGGGCCAAGCTACGGAAAAAAAGGAGTGGTGCGCTGCACATGCCCAGAGGCTCAGGTTTCCCGCAGGTAGGCATGGGTGGGCGCTGAGCCTGGATTGGCCCACCTAGGCCAGCTGAATTCAATTCAGCCAATGGGGTCAATCAGGGGTCGTCCACCACGCCTCCCTGTGGAATCCTTGAAAAGGCAGGAGTCCGGAGTCGAGCGGCAGAACTTTGGGACACTTTTGGGTGACACTAAGCAGCTTCCAGGCAGGCTGCATGTTTGGGAGGAGTCCTATGGATGCCGTGTAAACCTGAAACTTCTTCTAATGCTCATAAAACTCACTTGGATCACGAACCAGGCTTTGGCATGAATTCTTTCTCCCGCGGAGCCAAGGACCGAGGTATAGCTAGCTCCAGAGAGATCTAACGAGTCCTTAGGAGCCCTGACTGCGAGTTCCTTAGTGGGCTGTGAACCAGCAGAAAGGTCAGTGGCTAGAACCGAACAGCCGCCATGAAGAAGAAAGACGAGGCTGTCCGGCTCCATAAGGCTTGGCCACCTGAGTCTTCCCTTGGGGGCAGTTCTATACTGGCCTGGAGGGGCCACAGGAGCTGGCATGAGCTCCTCAGCCAAACAGGGGTGAGTTTAGTGTGTAACACTGATGGCTAGCTGAGAGCCCAAAATGACTGTCCTGAAATAATATTCCAACTTTCCATCAAAGCGATCCCCTGAAGGCATCTCAACCCATGCAAGAGTGCGGCTTCACTAGGAAAGATTGTATCGAAGGCCTGGTGGTAGAGTGGGGTACAGATGGG